TTACCCCAAATTACACCAAATTACACCAACGAATAAACCCCCCCTTAGAAGCTTATCATAAGAACGAGACTAACAACCTCAAACTACGTTTGGAAAAACACAACAGAGGGCAAGGAACGGTTCAAGGTAACATCTGTCAATATCTAATCAATCAATCATCTTCCTCCAGTAGCCTTGGTTCATAGAAATACGACACAACTAGAGTCAGAAAATGCATCATCGGGTTAAATTGGTAGAAGATGATGAATTTGAGGATGTGATTAGAGATGTTTTTATCCCTTCAAAAAATTTCTCGCCAAAGTTGTTAACGTGATATTTTGAAATATTATCACAAGAAAAAAATAATTTCTTATTTTCAAATGTTATTTGAAATATTATCACAAGAAAAAAACATAAAATAATTTCTTATTTTCAAATCTTAAACTGTAAATTTTCTCTAACTTTTAATATTTGGACATCTAGAGCACAAACTAGTTATTTATGGTTCCAAAGAGTTATTTCTTTTATTTTATTAAAAGATTCACACATTGGTCTGAATGTTATAAATTTAATAACTAAAAAACTTTCAAAATTAAGAATTGTTGAAAAAATATTTTCTATTTCACTAGATAATAGAAGTAATAATAATGTAGTTGTAAATCATATCAAATCATCTTTATTATTGCTATGCGAGGGTGACATTTTTCATATTAGATGCATGTGTCACATTTTGAATCTAATTGTGCAAAGTGTATTTGATGAAATTAGACCAATGATAGAAAAAGTTAGGATTATAGCTTATGTTCATAATGTTCTGAACAAAGGCTTAAGAGATGGAGATAATTGTGTAGAAAAAGAGTTTAAAAGACAAGTTAATTCTAAAAGATATTGACCATAGGTAGAATTTCACCTATACAATGTTAAATGTAGCAATAGAGTATAAAAAATTATAAGGGATTTTATTGCTTTTTATGCTTCTAGCTCTAGCTTTGCATCTAGTTCTAGTAATATGTATGGAATAAATGATGATGAATGGACAATTATAAGTTGTGTAGATGAGATACTATAAGTTTTTTTTTTTTTTTTGATGCTACTATATCATTATCCGGTTGTTCCAACTATTACTCAAACTGCTTAACAAGTTTTAAATATTTAATCTTTTTTTAATACTTATCGCATAGATGATTATTTTTCAAACATAATTTCTGAAATGCAAAGCAAATATAATAAGAATTTTAGACTCATTCCTATTATTTTTGGTTTAGAGATTTCTATTAATTCATGCTTGAAAAGTCTTGGCCTTCAAATTTTGTTGAATTGTTTGTATGATAACATGGTAACGGAAAGTGATAGCGGTCAGTCTATTATTGCACTTACTCATCATAACACTAGTAAATATTATTTTCAAAGATTATTTAAAGAGTACACAACTAGACATGATGTATCATCTCAACCTACAGCTTTTATGAGCTCTAGACAGAGCAAAGGTAAACGTTTTGATAGGCAATCGATGAATAGAGAGGCTAACAGGTACGGGTAGTAGTCGTGGATTAGGATCATCATCAAGGAAGTTTATAAAATTAAATAATATTTAGCTGCACCTTTAGTTAGACTTCAGAATAATGAGTTTGATATTTTGAAAATTACAATGGTAAAAAAGTATATAGTTTCATATCCTGTGCTTTCCATCACGGCTCGTAATTTAATAGTAGTGCATGTTTCCACCGTAGCTTTTGGAATCTGCCTTTAATGTGTCAGGACGATTAATCGAAGGTCATAGAACATCGCTAGATCCATATGTCATACAAGTGGTAATGTGCTTACAACATTGGTGGAAGTACGAGAAGAGAACTCAATGCATCGACCGAATAGGTAATATTGAGGATAGACTTAATGAATTGATAATAAGAGAGAAAGAGTAGAAAGTTATTTAAACTTTTTAGTTTTTATCTTTTTGAATGGAAATAGTTACAAATGATAGTGATATAGATGATAAGATATCAACCTAGTTGAGATATATTCATCTATTATGATGCGATATTTCCCAAAAAATGTTGTAATTTTTAGTGATTAACAATAAAGAATTTATTTTTATAATTTTAATTTCTATGAAATTTGCAAATTGTATAATTATATAATATTAATAATAAGATTGAATTTCTTTGCTAAAATTTTGCATCTTTTTAATTACTCCTGAAGTTGCCCTTTTTTTACAAAAATCTATTTTTCTTGTTTTTTTTGCAAAAAAAGAACCAAGTTAAAAAAAAGAAAAAGGAAAACCAAGTCGGCCCAGTGTCTAGTTCACATATGACAGAACCCAGACCCAGGTCCTATTGGGTGCCTTCTACCCGACCCGAACTAGGCCAACCCTGCCTGTTTGGACAAGCCTATACAGACCACCATGATTGTTTTCACTGTGTCACACACGCACCATGTGCATAGGAATTTGAGATTTCAATAGTTATAATAAACTAAATTTTGTTAACTATCTCTAAAATCACCTCATTGTATTCTTCTCTATAAGGAGCTACTTGGTTTTGTCGGAGCTGTCTACTTCAGCAACTTTTGGCGGACTTGTTTCCTTCAATAGCTCAATTGTCACATAAGAAATATAAGACGTGGCCGTCACCCTTCAAACAATAGCTTCTCTCCTCGCATCCTTCTCTTTCAACGGGTTTGCGTAGAAAATTTTGGACTATGTTACTCTTGTTTTTTGCATCTAATTGCAGTCATTTGCACGTTAAACTTTGGATTTTCCTGAAGATCTTGCGCGCAAACATCGACACTAAGCCCAACCTCGTCATGTGACTGTCTCTTGCCTACAATTGCGCATAATTTTCTTCTTAACAGGTGGGACCCAATGTAGACATCTGGTCTATTCCCCCATAGCAATTTTTTCAAACTCTTTTGTAAAAAAAATCATAGGACAAATTTACTCCTTATCACTTACAATGTTTTAAATGTCATCTGACATGTTCGACATGTCGGTTTGAGGGCTTGAGCGACATGATATGAGCGTTTTCAACTCGTATGTCGGTTTCAGGGCCAAACCAAAAATATCTGGGCCATATCGAGCATATCGGTCGATTTTTCAGCTTTGAAAAATCGGCCGATATGACCTTTTTTAGATCTGCTTTTTGTTATCGGGTTTGGATTTAGTAATAAAAACCTAAACCCATTTGACTCGTTCTCATGTTTAAGGGTTTCTTATGAACCCGATAGAAAGAAAAAGAGAAAAATGAGGATTAAAACGAACTTGGGAACCAATCACTCTTTTCGTGAATGACGACGTTCTTCTCACCTCCATCTCGGACCCCGTCGTCCATCTCCCGTTGCGCCCCAAAATCCGAGCCCCAACCAAACCCAAGGACAGCAGGGTATCCCGTCGTCGGGATAAAAGGAAGAGGGTGGTCGGTGACTCATCCTCCGAAGGACCCCGAGTAGACAAAGAAGAAGAAGAAGAAGAGCCTCGATACTATCTCCCTGCGACGTCGGAATCTACCCATTGCTGACGTCACCTCTAGAATTTATAAAGTATGCTTATATTGAATTTAGGAATGCTTAGATTATATTTAGGACATGATATTATACATATGCGCACCATCCGATATGGCAATCCGATATTTAGTCCACGTCCCCCGATATATCCCCGATTTTTGCTATTCGATATGGATTTCAATCATCCGACATGAACCCGACATCCGACATTTAAAACCTTGATCACTTATAATAATTACAAGCGCCGCCACCAAACAACTCGCAGCTCTAAGGCCTATGTCCAATATCCAACAAAATTAACAAGATTTGCAGATGATGGTGTACGCGCGTGTAAGTAGCACCAAATAAGACGTAACTTCAGTTTGGTACCCAAAGTATGCCCGCTTTTATCACTTTGATATCATAAAATATTTTTCTAGCATTTTTATACCATTATTTCACTTTGATATCCCAAAGTACTTTTAAGACTCGACACTCACAAGTTTCGATACATTCACATTGATACCCATGTCTAATCCGTTAGTCTGTCTGTTAATTTTGTGCTATGTGCTTAGAGACTTAGGTCAAATGGATCCAAATGTATCACATGCTAATCACATATTAAGGGTGTGATATGAACTTAACGAAAATCCTAGCTAACAGAATCTGAACAAGGTACCAAATTGAAATGCGATTGAAACTTTAAGGTTTCATAGTGTTAAAACATATATAGGATCAATACTTACAAGTATCGAAATGTTAGAGAAGTACCTTGAGACTTGAAGTCAAATATACCTAAACTTTAGGGTAGCAAAATGAAAATAAGATACCAAATAGCTAAAAAGAAATTTTCTATTTTAGTCCCTTACATGTCTTACATTTAGTTAGTCCTTCAAAAAATTGGAATTGTTATTAGGTCCTCATATTCTTAAGCTATTTTCAAATTAGTCCCTCAAATCATTGAAATTGTTATTAGGTCCTTTGATTTCTAAGCTATTAATCTTTCAAATCAAGAGTAGACTTAGCAATTATAGGGATTTGGAACAACCTATGAGAATTGAGGGGCCTATAGAAATGTCAATGTCCAATCTTAACAATTCTCTATGTTTCTTTACATAAACAAATCAATTCCTCATTCACTGAGCTATTTGAGAAGCAAATTAAAATAAGCCAATAAAATAACCCAAAGGGCTTCTCTGTATTTGTCCCTAAAACCATCCTTCAAATCATTGAAACTATTATTTGGTCCCTCAATTCTTAAGCTCTTTTGAAATTAGTCCCTCGAAACATTAAAATGAAATTAATCCTTCAAATCAAGAGTAGAATTAACAATTGGAGAGAAATATTTGAAACAAATTATGACAATTGAAGGTGTAATAGAAACTTCAGTATGGAACAACTCTATGGTGTACACCCGTGCAACGCATAGGCTCTCTAACTAGTATAAATAATAAGCGCAGAAAGATAGCAAAATGAAAGTAAAGGTAGTTATTAAAAGAATAAAAGAAATAAGAAATACACAAATAAAGGAATAAGGGTCTTACCAGTCACAAACAACCTTTTAGTTTTTACATCAGGTAATGAAGTTGTTTCAGTAGAATCATGCAACTCTTTCGTCTTCAGTAACATATCATCAGCTGCAAAGAATAGCATTATTGTGCTATATAAGTTTCCCAAGCAGAAAAAAAACAGTTAAATCAAATTCTCATAAAAATCACTAGTTAGCATGCGCATAAGAATACTTGCATAAATCATGCCAGTATCTATTATGCGCACACACTTCAAGAAGCCCAATGACTGTCAGGCATCACTTCCAACATGCATAATGTGCATGCAACACCTGAAAGACTAACTTCTCTCCTTCCCTCTCTTCAATAACTCATTTTTAAACACTATTTGCTATGTGAGAAGCTAAACATTTTGTGTATGTCTTCTCTTTCAAAGAAATATGTCAATACATTTCGCAATGAAAATACACCCTAAAGAACATTATATTTCAAGTTTATAGAAGAAAAAAGTATAGCAGTGTTGTAAGCACTAGTGTGCATTAACCCAGGGTCTTTAGCTACACACTAAAATACGCTAATGGTGTGATGTCATCTTGTATTCAGATCTCACTATAAACATGTTGAGAAACCTAATGAATTCTGTACTTACTGCATAAGATAGTGTGTGCCTACTTATAATTGGGATGGTTGGAAGCGGTGATATACATTGCTAGCCCATGATCCAATAGCATAAGCTTTTGAGTGAAGTGGTTTACTTACTATACGAATGCAAATAAATGTGGAATTATTGGGGTTACAAATTTATAATGGTTAATATTTGGTGCGGTAATTATCAAATATGCCAAAACCATGAGCATATGTAAAGGAGATAAGACAAGCAGAACATATAATTTTATTCTCCATCATACACCGAGCGACTTCTTAGAGATGAAATCATAAGGTAATAATCATCATGTCTTACCATATTAACATCCATTATTAAATTCAAATTTTTTGCATGTCATATCCCAGATGTGAGAACTCCTTATAAGATCAAGTCTTTTAGCAGACTATGAACTACAGTGTTTTTAAAAAAAGGATGCAAATGGAGCTGTGGGACCCCCCCCCCCAAGCCTACCCAGGTAGCTCATGCTTTAGAAAATGAATGACCGACCAAAAGTTAGAACACACTGAAATCTATGAATTGCCAACTCTTTTCAGCAACATAAACCCCTTTAAACATCAGATTTGTACAGTAATTTGAATGCAGAAACAATACAATATTTGGCATCAAGTTCGTGCAACAGTTCTGCAAATTATGGTGACCCAATCAGTGTAGGTAAAATTACGAGGGAACACTTTTATAAAAAGAGAAAGACTTTTGTTCAAAAAAAATTAAACTCCAACATCTTAATCAAGAGTACAAGTTCTATTAGAAAACCAACTTACAAATACAGTTATTTCAGCCCTTCATGGGATGGTATGGGCACAGTTTGGAATTGTAATCATTCTCTATAAGGTCAAACCACCCACTCCCATAGGGGATGTAATGATAAATTTTGTATTCCTTAATCAATCACCAATTGTTCTGTATTACTACCTGACTAGTTCTGCGAAGGTGTTTGCATCCTAAAAATTCAAAATGCAGGCACAAGTTATTAACTACAAGGATAGTAATTTAAAATCATCCTGTACTCATTTTTTAATTTAAAATATAAATCATTGGTTTCCTTAAAAACCTTTCGTAAATCTGGTCAAGTGTTTAACTCCATGAGAACTTTTCAAAATACCAGTTAAAAGACTCCACTATCTCCCATGCAATGCATACAACACCTAAAGATTATTTAAGTTATCTTTCATACTTTAAAAATATATAATTCTTTTAACTTTTGCCTGACAAATGAACCAGAAAAAATAAATTACTTAGTTAATCCCCAGAAAAATAATCTTAATGCAGGTCTCAAATCCTCAGTTCATATATTCTGCATGACAATCGTTAGATATCTTCTATCATTTCCATTATGCAACAGATTACCTAAACTTTTTACAGAAAGCTTAAAAAGAACTCCAAAGGAAAATAGTTCAAAAGACAAACAAACAGTAACAAAGAAACAGTGAGTAATGAATTATATGTGAATTCAGTAACACATTTCTTACAGCCAAACTATGTTACACGGATAGGGGTGCGGGTACGGACACGGACGCAGGTGCGGATACGGGACACGGCAAAATTGTAAAAGTTAGGATACGGGGACACGACTATACACATGCATACAAAAATTAATAGTCTACATGAGACTGATATTGTTTTTCATTCACATGTTATGAGAACTAAAAATCCTAATACCATTTTTATGTTTCTTTTATCGAGTAGAGTTTAAATTGAAAAATTGCTCGCTCTTGAACTAGATACTCAAACGACCCTTTAAAATCATACTTATGAACTAGGTATGTGCCAAAAAAAATCTGTCCCGAGTCTAATGAGTTGCATAATTTGAGGTGAAGTGTACGATATACATTCAAGAAATGTATCACAATTATTTTTAACTAAAGCATGTGTTATATAATTGAGTATGTGTCTGAAAATATATGTATATATTCAAGACGTGCCCAAGGAATGTTGGACAAGGACACAAGAGCCTAGATGAAGTGTCCGGGTAACCTAGCAGCCAAATGATTAGATAGAGGTTAATATTGTTCATTTTACGCATTAATATCTGCTTGATATACACTGTCCCTTGTCAACACAAAACTCAATACCTTAAGCTTTTGGTAAAGTGGTTTCGACATGGTATCAGAGAACAACAGGCTTTAAAAGGTTTTCAAACTTCATTAATATCAAACTTTAAATTATATTTATTTTCACCTGTATTTTTTTATTTCCGTGTAGCCTGTGAGTCCCAAGCGAGGAGAATATTAAGAATTAATTTCAGCTTGATATACATTGTCAGCCCACAACTCACTAGCTCTTAAGTGTCTGGGTAAAATGATTCTTGAAAAATTCAGCAGAACAAAGAGAGGAAAGTTAATGAAAGAGTAGGAAAAACTATATCTTTGCAGGTACTTAATACAGTCCATTTAAAATTTATTTTCTAATCTTAAATAAAAAAAAGGATTGACATAAAATCAGAATTATTTCAACAAGCTTTGTAACGGAATACTAAATGGTACCCTACAGCAGACATCTAGTAAGAAAAACTAAATAATGTACTTGTCTCCTCTAAGCCCTGGGACAGAACCAAAGGTAGAAAACTAAACAAAAAGTATAAAAATTACATGGTAATTATGACTCTGAAACTAAGTACACCAATCAATTCCAACGTATAGTAAATTTACAGTCCTCTTCTTTCCATTTTTGTGTCCTTGTTATTCTATTTGCTTTGATTAGTCAGATATAAGCTAAATTGAGCGCCCAATTTGACTGAGCAAAAGAAAATAGTCAAATAAAGAAGCACAGAGTGCTACGTAGAACCTCCCGAAATGTATATTAAACTATGAAAAGAAATCTCATAGAGGTTAATATGTGCTATCAACCAAAGAACATGTCAAACTTTGGGGGAATAACTAGGAAATGATAAGAACATCCACATTCCACAAGCATGTTGGCCACTCCAAAACTTAAAGACCAACATGTCTAGAAAGGTTGATATTACTGTATTTTTAACAACACAGTAAAGGTGCTTTTTTGCAGTGGAGGTGGTTGTGGTTGATATCAGTTCTTATCCTTTAACAAACGCTGATTTAGGGTCCCAGTCAACAACCACGAATCAATCAGATGAAAAACGAGGATCTACAATGGATGTCGGAGAAGGGTTAGGGGTGGTCATGATCATCAATGATTCTGAAGTTGGACAGCTTTCATTCATTCCACTTGTATTATTATCTTTATCATCTTACCTCTGAATAATCATATCAGTTGCTCTATCCCACAACTAGAGGTCAGAAATTTTACGAGGAGGCTTCATAAAGACTAGATGACTAGACTAGATTAGTAGACCAGATTGCATTCATAATAAGGCTTCACAATCAGTATGATTATTACTAATTTTGTTGATTTTGACTAATTATAATGTGAATTGGATTACAATCTTCCTTTAGTCGAGGCAAACTTGTAATCAATTCCCTACCCTTTATTTACATATGCACCTTTCAAATTTTCAAACAATTAATAATGAAAATGAATAAAATAATGGAGAGCCAATGTATATATGATGTTAAAGTATAACAACCTTTTTACTTTCAAAGGTGCAAAGAATAATGCTTATATACTCATAAAGAAAGAGAAAAACATACATATATAGAACAGTAGGATAGAAAATGAAATTTGATAAAATCCAAGAATTGATCTAGTGATTTAAAGTTCGATTCTAAAGATAAAAAATTATAAAAACACATCAATAAATAATACCAATAAAAATTGAAGGAGGAATGTGATTATGGTGATAGATTAATACAATCAGTTGAGAAATAACAAACCTTTATAATTTTTATTTTCCGATCTAAAATTCATGTCAGGCTGTACGGACAATACACCTGGAACGTCTTCAATGCATTCGAGATGTCATTAGTCAGTGCATGAAGAATTTTTGTGCACGGACATTGCACAGAAATACTCACCAGAGAGTTCACATGCACATTCCTCATCAATTTGGCAACAAAATCCAAAGTCCTTCTCCCATGAGACATTATATATGGAAACTTGTGCATCCATCTCACTGCAAAAAAAATTACTCCGCAGAAATCAAAAGTTGGGCATGGGGATAGAGGAAACATGGAATAACAAGTAATAGTAGATCACTTACTTTCCCATTACTTTTGTCAGAGTCTGTGCAAAATAGTCTACCATTTGAGCCTTTGTTACCACTTCAACTCCAGGTTTCTCCATTTTAACAAGCCACGCATCACAATTCGCTGCTGCTGAAGGGAAAAATCTAGAAGAACGAGTAGCAGGATTGGTTTGTTGTGCTAATAGAAGGTTGGAAGCGCTAGAATCAGTCGTTGTTTTTATATCCCTGTCGGGGCTTATAGAAATTACCCCTGGTATACCTACAATGAGAAGTGAACCCTTAATCTTAAACCAATTGATCAAGGGAACAACAAGATTCACGAGGTTGGTAAAGTAAATTATACAAGTATGATGTAAAAAAAAAATTCCTCTCCGTTATTGCATATTGATACAAAAGAAGCTAGTATCTGCTCCTCACTGGGAGGATCCACATACCTTAGAACATCATGCATAACATGGAACGCCAAAAATTGAAAACTAATATTTGTTGAGATGACTCCAAAACAGGCCTAAGGTACGCTATGTTATATCCAGAGCACAATATAAGTTCTTAAGTCAGATTGTGAAATTACCAAAATTTAAATTAAAAAAATTCTTCATGACGTCCTTTTTATAAGAGAAACCATCTATTTCTACACTGACTTTATCACACTTAGAAACAACATTGAGTCGCATAAGACAGACATCCATGCAATTGACCTAATATCAAATGTAGAACGAGCTTGTTTGGATTTGAGTGTCAAGACACTATTTCTAAAATAAAATGTAACTGCTTCCCCCATATCAGTCTCACACCCAACAAAACACTCGCTTCCTCAATAATATACCGCATGATCATAACCTAATGTTCAATAGCGTTTTCTTGACTAATATTGCTTTTAACTTATAATAAAATATCCCAACGGATAGATTGATAAAGTCAGCTACTTCACAAAAACAAAATCATGTGCTGTTCAAGTTGTTCTGTACCCAAAAGGACATTTAAGTCCATGTGCACGTATTTTGCTCCTCTGATGTCCATATGGGAGCAAATTCCAAACTGTTAATGTAAATAACCAACAAGAAGAGAGCATGAGAAACGTGTCTAACCCAGCCCACAGATAACAAGTGCAGAAAGAGGACAGGGCACGGCTGAATGCGAAACATGGTATGCAAATTAATGCAGCTCAACAATTCGGGTAACCAGATTACAAAGGCGAAATCAAGGATTATTAAACTCAAAGCTTACGAGCGAGAGCGCGGGAAGATGCCTCGTCAATATCACAGCAGAAGAAGAAATCCCTCTCCCATGATGCTCGATAAATGCACATCTGCGCCTCCTTCTCACTGTCCCGAGAAGGAACACATTACCATCGTCCTCATGCAAAATCAGAGAATCATGCGAAAAATATATCAAATCTTACCTCGATAAAACTCTGGCTAGGGTTTGAACATAGTAATCAACAA